CTCATCCAAGAAACAGAGGCCATCCAAGAAGCGTGAGATGTGGAAGAGGAGGAAGTGGAGGAGCAAGAGGGCGTTCCTCACGTGGAGGACACTTGGGTAATGTTTTAAAATATAAGGATGGAACCATAGGACTGGAAAACAGTATGTTTGAATGTATGGAAATACATCAGTTTTTATTTACATCTTTTATGAGCATAATCAACTAAAATTCAGTAGATGAGGAATTAACATTCATAATTGAAATACTACTCTTTTTTAATGATGAAAACACGACACTTTATTTTCATATTTGTCTTCAGGCCTTCAGACAAAACATGGCCTCACAAATTTGGTTTCTCATTTTTGTTATCATTGTAATTACTGCCATTTGCCAAGACCTAACTGATGAGTTGACAATTTATAATAATTATCCAGACCAGTAATTTATGATTTTTACAAAAGGATAATTTAGAGAAATTCCTGCCTTAGAAATGTATACCTAATCATTTAAAATCAGTTTATTCATTTAACTGAATATAATACTTACTTTGAAAATTTGGTTATTAGATGATCTTTTCAGATTATTTATGTTTCCGCAGACATTTCCTTTACAGTGTTATTTTATCACATTTGTTTCTTTTTTCTTTCCTTTTTTCTTTTTATTATGTTATGTTCTAAAGGCTAAGGAATTATAGTTCTAAAATGCTTGAAATAGTATGCAAAAATATAACCTTGCGGTGAAATGGCATAAATTTCAAACTAAATTCAGACTGCAGTATTTGTTTTCCATATATGTTTGTGCAAACATCACTGCGAAGGTTTTCTGCCTTGGTCTCTTGTTAGTGAAACTTGCATTTGGGGAGATATCTAGAGCTTTCTTTAGATTTTGGAAGATGTCTTTACTCAGAGAAAGGTTAAAAGCCACTGCTTCACAAATACGAATTTATCTTTTTTGTGTGTGGTGGAGGGAGAATGAGTCATTGAAAATGGTATTTATGAACTTTTCAGAGAAGACTTTTTTACTCAGTATGAAATGGGGTCACTTCCTGTGTGTTGAATAAACTTTGTTCCTTCTGTTAACCGGTCCTTAAAAATCAAACATTTAGATTCTGTTCTTGAAAATCAGTGTGATATTTAGGAAATTGTCTCCTAAAGCAGAATTGTAAGATTTGTCCCATTTATATTTTTTATTTTTTTAAGATTTTATTTATTTGACAGAGAGAGACACAGTGAGAGAGGGAACACAAGCAGGGGTAGTGGGGGAGGGAGAAGCAGGCTTCCTGCTGAGCAGGGAGCCCTATGCGGGATTCGATCCCAGGACCCTGGGACCATGACCTGAGCCGAAGGCAGACACTTAAGGACTGAGCCACCCAGGCGCCCCAGATTTGTCCCATTTAGAAGCAATTTTGTTTTTATCCACTAAACTGATACTGAAAAAGTTTTAGCTATTTCTGCCGTGTATAAGAATACTCATTTTTTTTTTTTTACCTATGACAATACCAACGAATGGGAATATATCTAAATGTTTTTCTAGTTTAGAAAAGTAAAATGATTTTTAATGATTTAATATGCATTTCTTAAAATACCAGTAAAATTGACCATAACATAAATTATTGTTGACTATTAAGTGCATTGTAAGAATTGTGTATGTTAACTCTTTCAGGTAATGAGTTTTTGATGTATCTTCTCCTTTAGATTTTTAAAAATATTTTGATTTGTGCCTATGTATTATATGCTTTTTAAAGTAGCTTTCTTGACATGAGGATTACTTGAGCAATTATTTACCATTTTTCTCCACCCCTTCAGTTTTTCCCAAATGTGTCTCTTTAATGTGAATATAAAATGCTTCTTGAGTTTTTCTAGGTTTTCCAAACTAACTTTCACAATAAGTCTTTGATTTGTATTTATGTATATCACGTAAGAAAACAAGGTTAGTTTATACAAATCTGAATACTTAAGACCATAACATTGTTTAGTAAAGATTTTTAAACAATGAAACTTCATCATTTAAAAAATGTTGATTGTACTTTACTAAAAAGATTTCATTTAAACACAGATGATGGAGAATGTACTCGTAACCTCAACATGAGTTCTTCCAGGGGACCCTTTCCAGTTAAAAGAGGCCCATCTTCAAGAAGTGGAGGTCCTCCTCCTAAAAGATCTGCTCCTTCTGCTCCCAGACGTAGCAACAGAGGCATTGGAGGAAGAGGTAAATGCTGTGAATTCTTCTGAATGAAAATGATCTATTTTAAGAAGTTGATTTCAAGAAGCGCAACGGAAAATTATATGGGTGTATTTATTGATCACTCCTTATTTTTGGTTAGGATTTAATTCTTCAACTTCTAATTATAGATGTAGTAGGTGATTAACAAACAGTGGGGAAAAGCATTCCTATTAAGTCTACATTTGTTATAGAACCCCTCTTCATTTTTTAAAGTTCCTGGTATAACATGCTTTGGTCAGCAGGTTTTTTGTGTTTTTTTTTTTGCATCATTTCAAGATCAAGATATTCTTGAAAATCACAATGTCCTATGAGAATATTTTGATGTGTAGCGTAGCTGTGTATTTTGATCACCTGGTTTGTTATTAATGAGTTTATAAACAATAAATGCAACTTGCCATATTGTTTTTTCTTTCTGTTTGGACCGTGATGGTGCTTTACTGAAAAGATCTGTTTTAAATGCAGATGATGATGGATACACACTTAATCTCAGCATGAGTTCTTTGAATGTATGTGCACTAGTGATGTCCTAATCTAAAACTTATTAGAAAGTTCAGTTTTAAAATCATACTTACGTGCAAGGCATTGTTTTCATTTTGTGAGAATACTAAGAAATGTATAAATACATGTGAGATATGTTCTTTACTTCCAAGAATCCTCTCAATAGGAAGGAAATACCTAGTATTAAGTATTCATGATAAAGAAATAGAAAATATTTTGTTACCTAGATGAACAGAGATCACTGTGGGTTTTGGTTATTTAAACAAATTAGGCTTGATAGACTTAATAAAATTTAAATAATAAATAGACCTATAAACTTTAAATAGTCTAAATTGGAAATCATAGGAGTGCATATAGTTATGAAGCTATTATAATTTAGTTATGACATATATGGAAGATAAAAGTTCATCACCAAGGTTGATGGAGAGATGTTCTAAACCGTAAGATAACAGTCCTTAGGGAATTGAAATTACTTGAGAGAATTTAAAGAACGCAAGTGGTAACTAGCATCAAATACAAGAACAGATAACTTTGAGAAGGTGTAAGATCTTGGATTGAACAGAATAGGAATCAAGAGGGTAAAGAACATCTTAGTGAAGAAATAAACACTATATCTTCAAATTTAGAGAATGAAAACTTCAGTTCTTTTAATTCGACATTGCTCTTTAACTCTTACGGTAGAAGTTGACATTATCAAATTTACCTTTCATGAAGCTAAGTGTAATTTGCTGTTGTCTTAAATACAGAAGAAGCCTACATGTTTCCAATGAAAGAATTAGGAGAAAAAAGAGTGGGGGGTGAGGGCTTAATTCTAGGAACTAGGAATAATACTTAGCATGTGAAGATAACATTACTTATGGGAGAAAGTTGCATATTTAGGAAGGGGTACATTACTTTCCCAAATTACGTCTTAAACAATATTGCTAATAAAGCACTAGACATCATCACTGCCATCATTACAAAACTAAGCCACTTGGTATGATAAATTAGAAAATATATGTAAAGGATTTGGCATCTAATGCCCAAAGGAAAGATAACATTGTTGGTGTGAGTGGGGTGAATTGAAATCAATACTTTTTTTTAGCAGAAAAAAGATAAGTATGTATTTCCATTAGTAAACAACTTGAAGGTTTTGCATGTTAATGCTCATGAACAGTTAGTATGAAGATAAAAAGAAATAAAGGATAATATCTTTCAGCTGGAGCAGTTTTAATGACTCAATGATTCACTGTATGTGAATTTCCTGTTTAAGCTTTTTGAGAAACACTGGCCATGAAGGAACAGTGGAATATAGAAAGCCATGGGAAATATTAGGTGATACCAGGAACATTTAGGAATTAAAGGAAAACAGCATTGTAAATGAGCAGAGTGGTAGAGAAAGCAGGGTAGGTACATCATGTATACAAGGTACTAGAA